CCAACCTTAAGCAACTGAGTTTTCTTAACTTGACTGTCCCCACCCCCTGCCAAATATGGCTTTTACCTGTAAAGCTCTTTAGAAGAAAGCGAACCAGTAGAAGCAACCATTAGATAGTCACTTTAGTTAAAACATGAATGAGGGGCAAAGTGGCAGTGCTCATGCCTGTAATCCCAGCCACTTTGGGAGCGGAGGTGGGCATATCACCCTGAAGTTCAGGAGTTTGAGGACCAGCGCTGGCCAAACATGATTGAAACCCCCGTCTCTACTAAAAATACACAAAATTAGCCAGGTGTGGTGGCAGGTGCCTGTATCCCATGCGTGCTCAGGAGACTGAGGCGCAGCGAGAGATCGCTGGATCGGGAGCGGGAGGTCTTGCAGCTGAGCCAAGATCACTCCAGCATAGGTGACCGAGGAGACACCTCGCATACTCAAAAAAAACAAAAAAAAAAAAAGAATAAAGGCCAGGTGTGGTGGCTGAACCTATAATCCTAGCACTTTGGGAGGCCAAGGTGGAAGGATAGCTTGAGGCCAGAAGTTTGAGATCAGCCTGGACAATATAGGGAGACCCTGTCTCTACAATACAAATAAAAAACAAACAAACAAAAATGAGTGAAAGTAATTTTACTTTTTAATAAAGCTCCCGAGAATATAATTAGTTTATTTTTACGTAAAGAAAGTGTCTTCCCATTGTGTTAACACTATTAGTTGAAAGAAATAGAGATTCATTTAGATTGCAGAAACACATGGAGATTTAGAATGAGATTATATAAGAACGTAGCAATGAAAGGCACCTCCATGACACAGCTAGGCCTTACGGTGCTCTGCCATTCGTATCATTCATTGTCTTGGTTCACTTGGGCTGCTATAACAAAATACCATAAACTGGGTAGCTTATAAACAACAGAAAAGGATTTCTCGTAGTTCTGGGTGCTGGGAAGGCCAAGATCAAAGTGCTGGCAAATTCAGTGTCTGGTGAGGGCCTGCTTAACTATTCATGGACAGCTGTCTTTTCACTGTGTCCTCACATGGCTGAAGGGACGAATGAGCTCCGTCAGGCCTCTTTTGTAAGGGCACTAATCCAACTGAGGAGGGCTCTGCTCTCATGACCTCATCACCTTCCAGAGGGCCTACCTCCTAAGAGCCTCACTTTGGGGGTGAGAATTTCAGCATATGAATTTTGGGGCAATGCAAACATTGAGACCACAGCACCCACTTACTTTTTTGTTCTTTTTCTCTCATGTCTGCTTCAACTTCTACCAAGTTCTTAATTCTCTCTATGTGTCTGTAGTTTAAATTCCTGAGTAAGGATCTCATAGGTCAACCAATGACTTCATCCCTGTTCGGGTAGAGCTTTCACACTGGGTTTCTTAGAGGCCG